AAAAAAAAAAAAAAAAAAAAAAAAAAAAAAAAAAAAAAAAAAAAAAAAAGACAGCTCAATCCTAGCCCATTGGTTATTTGTAACACTCATACAGAAAATACCAGATTACGTTAACAGCAGTGAAGAGGCAAGAACTGAAGTCTGAAGATTGATTTCCTCAGTACTTAAGGGCATTCCAAGAATTTTGGCCAGGTGCAGTGGCTCACCCCTGTACTCCCAGCACTTTGGAAGGCCAAAGGACGCAAGATACACTCAGCCCCTGCCAGGCCTCCAGGTTCGTCCACCACAGCATCAGCCCAAAGTCCCGAATCTCATCTGAATCCACTCCCTCATGGACAAGGCTCCTCAGACAGCTCCCATGTTGAACCTCTTTCCATTAAAGACTGTCCCCACCCCGGTCCCCCCCAGCCCACCCACACTGCGAGCACACGCGCACACACACACCCCGACACCAAATGGCAGCAGCAGAGCTAGGATACCTGCCACAGACACTCCCAGGAGTCCCTGGCCCACAGTTAAGTCTGAACTCCCAACTGGGCACACGTCACCTGGCAGTCCCCCAACTGCACCCAACTATGCCCAGCCTCACTCCTCCAGGCTTCCCGGCTCATGGCTCCACCTTTGAATTATCTATCCTTTTCACGAAAGGTGGCCTGTGTTCGCAGCTGTAGTTTCATCTCCCTGCTTCCTGCTGGTAGGAACTTCAGGGTTCAAGGCCTCTTGAATTTGTATTGCCTGGCCCTTTCAGTCCAACCTGGCAGCAGCTTCTGCCCATATAATTCTGTGACTCTTAATAGGGTTCAGTTCATTAGAAGCCATACCAGCAGGACTTTTCAGAGTAACTGTTTTGGGCTTCTGCAGAGGAGAAAGAAGCACTGTCGTTGGAAAGAAAGCGTGCCCGGCAGCCGGGCACGGTGGCTGAAGTCTGTAATCCTAGCACTTTGGGAGGCTGGGACAGGTAGATCACCTGAGGTCAGTTTGAGACCGGCCTGGCCAACATAGTGAAATCCCATCTCTACTAAACATACAAAAATTAGCTGGGCATAGTGGCTCACACCTGTAATCCCAGCACTTTGGGAGGCTGAGGCAGGCAGATCACTGGAGGCTGGTGGTTTGAGACCAGCCTGACCAACATGGAGAAACCCTGTCTCTACGAAAAATACAAAATTAGCCAGGTGTGGTGGCGCATGCCTCTAACCCCATCTACTCGGGAGGCTGAGGCAGGAAAATCACTTGAACCCAGGAGGCGGAGGTTGTGGTGAGCCAAGATCGTGCCACTGCACTCCAGCCTGGGCGAGAGTGAAACTCCATCTCAAAAATAAATAAAAAATAAAATAAAAATAAAGAAGGCCCCTTACCCAGTGTGTGTGTGGGGAGGAGGGGTGGGCAGGGCTGAATGGTCACAATTCTCTTTCCAGCTGTACACCGCCTCACCAAGTGCCGCTCACTTCAGACCCAAGACAGACCTAACTCTGACCCTCCAAAGATGCCAGCTGTGATGGCAGCTGGCCCAACCGGCAACACCCTATATCAGTTAAAGAGGGTTCTTTTTATTTTTGCAATATCCCATACAAAAGCAATAGAAACATAACAGTCTTAACAAGAAGTTTACAAATGAATAAACAGAAAATCTGTACACATCATCATTTACAGCAATTTTACAGGTAACTTAACTGTTTAAAAATGTTCTTTCTAAATCGCTCTGCCGCCCCAACTCTTAGAGTATTATAAAGAGCCTGACTAGTGCTATTTACAAGTACCAAATTAAGACTGTATAATTTACATAAAACCCATTAGTTTAACAGCTAAATTTAAGAATGATCTGACTTCAGAGCTCTGCTGTGACATATTGATAAAAGGCCAAAAATTAAGTCTCCATGAAGATATTAAAGGTGTCTGACAGAGTACTTTGTCTGGTGCCTATAAAAGTAGCTGACTCTCAAGTGGTCCCACAGATTACATGGTTAAATCCAAAACAATTCATCTCACAAGCAGCAACTTAAGATGCCTGTGGAAAACTAGTTAAGTATACTTGTCTGCTCATCTTGGAGGACGATAGGAATTAAGCAATTACGCTTGCTGGAAGATTGCTTTAAGTATAACCTTGCTTGGATTTAGCTCCATTTACAATTTTAAAACATGCAAAATACACTCACTATACATAAAATTAATGTTTCTTAAGAAAGTAAGGCAAAAATAACAATTCGTCATGAAATAATGGACTACTAACAGAGAAACCACCAGGTACAAGTGCACACACATGCTTGGCGCCTGGCCATCCTTCCACCTGGTCTGGGAGGAACTGTTTCTCTTCCTGGCCGCCAGGTGGCAGTTAGCTCATGGCAGAGAAGTCTCTCAAGGGTTCAGTTAAACAAGCTTCCAAATCAAACTCGTCCTCCGCTTGACTGTCCATGTGTCTAACTTTAGTGGGTGTGCCAGAGTACATGTCCTGGAAGACAGAAGCATGGGTCAGCTGACATTCACCTCACCCTGAAAACAGAGGCCACTTCCTACACCCCACAGCTTACATGGTGAATTGTGATTTAATGCACAGCATGTACACCTCACATGCAACCGAGATAGATTTTATTCATGACACTGAGAAGAGAAACTACACGTACTATTTACAATACACTGAAGTTAGGTGTACACACATTTTATTTTTCTTTTGCAGAGTCAGAGTCTATGCTGAACTCCTAGGCTCAAGTAATCTTCCTGCCTCGGCCTCCCAATGTGCTGGGATTATAGGCAGGAGTCACTAGTCACTACGCCCGGCCATGACACATTTTACGAGTACAGAAAGAATTCTGAAAGCCTAGAAAAAAACACGAATAGTGGCTGTCTCAGGACAGGAGGAGACTGTTTAAATTGATACGTTTTAAGATGGTTTTCTTTTCTCTTTTTTGAGGATGAACCTGCTCTGTCACCCAGGCTGGAGGGCAGCGGCTCAATGTCAGCTCTGTCACCTCTGCCTCCCGAGTTCAAGTGATTCTCCTGCCTCAGCCTCCTGAGTAGCTGGGATTACAGGCCTGAGCCACCACACCCAGCTAATTTTTTTTGTATTTTAGTAGAGACAGGGTTTCACCATGTTGGCCAGGATGACCTCAATCTCCTCACCTTTTGGTCTGCCCACCTCGGCCTCCCAAAATGTTGGGATTACAGGCATGCGCCACTACGCCGGGCCATAGCTGCATCTTTCTATGTTCGAATACAGTACAGGATCTTACAGAAAGCATGACAATTTTATAACAAATGTTTACATTTTCTAGTTGTTGTTGTTGTTGTTGTTGTTGTTTGTAGAGATGGGGTTTCACCATCCTAGCCAGGATGGTCTTGAACTCCTGACCTTGTGATCCACCTGACTCGGCCTCCCAAAGTGCTGGGGTTACAGGACTGAGCCACCACACCCAGCCCCTTTTCTAGTTTTTAACCTGCTTTTTCACTTCATATGCTGGGTGTTTTCACATGCAATTAGGACAGTCTTCTTTGTAAAAATACTAAAGGTTGGCCGGGCACAGTGGCTCATGCCTGTAATCCCAGCACTTTGGAAGGCAGGGGTGGGCAGATCACCCAAGGCCAGGAGTTCAAGACCAGCCTGGCCAACATGATGAAACCCCATCTCTACTAAAATACAAAAATTAGCTGGGCACGACGGCGGGTGCCTGTAATCCCAGCTACTTGGGAGGCTTAGATGGGAGAATTACTTTAATCTGGGCAACAGTGGTTGCAGTGAGATGAGATCATGCCACTACACTCCTACACTCCAGCCTGGGCACCTGAGCAAGACTCCGTTTCAAAAAAAAAAAAACCATACACCACTAAAGTATCTTTTTACTGTACATTGGTACACATGCAAGGTCTAGAAGAACATGCTCCCAATCATTAACTACAGAATTAGACATGAGCCAATTTTGTGCACTGCTTTGAACAAACATGTATTTTTTTCAAAACTGGTAAATGTAAAGAAAATCCCTAGGTACAATGCACTCCTCCCTTATTTGGTAACAATTAGCAGGTAATTCCTATGCCAGCACAGACTGCATGGCCCACACCTGAATGCTAGTGACAATGCACATGTAGATCCCAGACTCGGAGAAAAAGCTTTTCTTTTCTTTTCTTAATGTATTGTAGGTATTTATTTTTTGAGAGAGGGTCTTGCTCTGTCACCCAGGCTAGAGTGCAGTGATATGATCACAGCTCACTGCATCCCTGACCTCCTGGGCTAAAGCAATCCTCCTATGTTAGCTTAACTAGGTGAGACTATAGGAACGCACCACCATACCCAGCTAATTTGTTTTTTTGTAGAGACAGGGCCTCCATATGTTGCCCACGCTGATCCTTAATTCCTGGGCTGAAGCGATCCTCCTGCCTCAGCCTCCCCAAGTGCTGAGTTTATAGGTGTGAGATGCCATGCCCAGCCTCTTTTTTGGAGGGTCCAGGCCAGGCACAAGGCTCCCACCTGTAATCCAGCACTTTGGGAGGCCAAGGTGGGTGGATCATTTGAGGTCAGGAGTTGGAGACCAGCCTGGCCAACATGGTGAGACACCCTCCCCCATCTCTACTAAAAATACAAAACTTAGCCAGGTGTGGTGGCACACACCCGTGTTCCCAGCTACTTGGCCAAGGCAGGAGAACTGCTCGAACCTGAGGGATGGAGGCTGCAATAAGCTGAGAATGTGCCACTGCACTCAAGCCTGGTGACAGAGTGAGACTCTGCAGCCCTGATCCTGAACCTGAGCTCAAGCAATCCTCCTCCTTCAGCCTCCAGAGTAGATGAGACCGCATGCAGACTATGCCACCACAGCTGGCTCCTTTGACTTCAAATAAATGAAAATGGTGAAACTGATTTGTTAGACTGAACTAAAAACCTTTAAGGTCATTACCTCAGAATTCAATCTTATGATCTCTGACATCTTGATGATGGGAGTCATCAAAAGTAGAAGTCCTTTCCTGTGAGCATCAGAATCAAACTGCAGTTTTTTGTGGGGTTTTTTGAGACAGAGTTTTGCTCTTGTTGCCCAGGCTGCAGTGCAATGACACGATCTCAGCTCACCGGAACCTCTGCCTCCCAGGTTCAAGTGATTGTCCTGCCTCAGCCTCCCAAGTAGCTGGGATTACAGGCACCTGCCACCACGCCCAGCTAATTTTTGTATTTTTAGTAGAGACAGGGTTTCACTATGTTGGCTAGGTTGGTCTTGAATTCCTGACCTCAGGTCATCTGCCCGCCTCGGCCTCCCAAAGTGCTAGGATTACAGGGGTGAGCCACCACACCCGGCCCAAACTTCAGTTTTTCTGTTTGCTTTTGAGAAAGAGTTTCACTCTGTTGCCCAGGCTGGACTGCAATGGCGGGATCTCAGCTCACTGCAATCTCCAGCTCTCAGGTTCCATCAATTCTCCCACCTCAGCATCCTGAGTAGCTGGAACTACAGGGACCCGTCATCGCACTTGGCTATTATTTGTTATTTTTGTTGAGACAGAGTTTCACCATGTTGGCCAGGCTGGTCTTGAATTCCTGACCTCAGGTGATCTGCCCTGAGGTCAGGAATTCAAGACCAGCCTGGCCAACACCTCAGCCTCCTAAAGTGCTGGGATTACAGGCATGAGCCACCACACCCAACCCAAACTTCAGTTTGTAAGACAGTATGTGTTAACAATTCACCTGCAAATCCCAACAGACTTATCCAAAGAAAGTACTTACAAAGTCATCCTGAGAGCTTGTCTGGGGCTCGGAGCTGCTTTCTGCAGATTCAAGGTCTACAGGGTGTCTGTGAAATGAAATTCAACAGGTGTGTCAGGCACTAGTTTAACAAGGCCAGGAGACAGGGCGCAGATGAATTCTCTACAGACAAACCCCACCCATGTGGTACAGCTACAACACTGACAGTGTCCCCTAGGCTCCCTGAGGGGTCAGCTTTCAATGACTATTTGCCAGACTCAACCCCAGCCCAATCAATCCAGCAGAGAGAAAGCCAATGGCAACAAGCAGCAGCAAAAAGATCTGCTGGGCTCACCACACAAGCATCCTTGGAAACAGAAGCACTCATAAGCCCAATTTTTGATGGGGATAAACAAGCACTGTGGTGAAACATACTATACATTATCACTAACTGTTTCAAGTTTCTATTCAGAGAATGGAACAATGGTGTCACACTGGAAAAAAACCCAAATCACTTCTGTCAGGCCAAACCAGTAAAGCCACGTTACAAAGCATTTTAAACATGCTAGTCTCTAGTAAATTTCCCAGCACAGAATAGAAACTCAAATGTTTGTTGGAAGAATGTGTCCGAGGAAGGGAGGGGCTCAGGACCAGAGGGGAGCTGAGAAGAAACCCCACACAGACGAAGAGAGGTATAAGATCACTCTATCTCCCTGGTCAGCCCATATTCCCATGATGAAGCGGAATTCAGGCCTGAGACATTTCTACTAGGCACAAGTTTAAAAGCCAACAGGGAAAGAAAACCTTCTTTAATTAAGATCTTTTATTTTCATGGTTGAACAGAAATGACTCAGATACTTTTTGGGATATTTATATTTGAGAAAACCAAATTCCAGACATTGTTGTAATTTAGGGGAAAAACAACTACAACAACAAACAAAAACTGTGTATTCCCAGATTGACCGTGTTCAAAAACATTAATTCAATCCAGGAAGCAAACTCCTCCCCCCGGCTGCCCCCGACCCAGCACAGAACTCAGCACTAAGCTGCAGCAGCTGCTCGGCTCCCCAACAGCTGCTGGGGTACCTGGCGTCAGAACCTCCTGTCCCAGTGACACACAGCTGCTTCAGTCACTTCAGTCACCAATCAGAGAAACACAGAATAAGAATGCAGTAAAGACATACATTTCTTGCAAATCACATCCTTCTTCAGCAGGAGGATCCCAAAAATGCAGAGCCACCTTCCAGAGTTTGATTTGTTGGTCCCATGAACGTCGACTATACTTCTTAAATTTATTAGGGGTCTTGGGATGAATGCCAGGTTGTCGA